TTAGATGCATAGTTACACTGATAAAAAAGTGAAGCTGTAGGAAGGTAGAGCTTCTTGTACCATTCAACTTTCTCTTCCACAATTTTTTCCTACTTATAACCAAAACAAGAATATATCTCGTCCCTGCCTGCCCCCTGCAGTGCTGCCTTTAACTTTTCAATAACACGTAATAAACATTATCATTGTAATAAGTGATACAAACACACTGCACAATTCAAATGTGAAAATAGCTGTTAGATCTGTACAACATTGTTACCATTCGTTTTTGCGAATAAAGTCAAATGACAGAGAATTTAATCCTTGCTTGTTTAAATAATTCCCCGTGAACAGAATTAGCTTTAAGATTCATATTTATAAATTAATTTCAATTTAGATTCAGTTTTAAAAAGTGACATCCGTACGGCCTTGCAGACTGAAGAGAACATCTTTTCTTTTACGCTATATGATCCTATTAAATTAACAAAATAAATATCTACATGCGAATGAAATCTTTTTAAATAACGGGTAGGATATATAAATAATGACAAATATGCATTCGCATACGATACCAATATCGTCGTCAAAGACAATATCGATTTTGTCTTTGGCTTTCTGTGTGATCAGGTTGAAAGTTACGTAGCTGTATGCTTATTTATACAATACGTTCTGCGATACAGATGTCTTTGAACTTTACACGATTAGTAATAATTTACTCCTTCGACGTTTTTGCGTTTGTTTAAAATGTACAGATTAAATACAGCAAATTATACTCGTTCTACTGTGAATTCCATACATATTTCCTCTTTGTTCAAACTTTATTCAACCTGTTTATTAGTTTCTAAATAAATTTCTTCTCATTCGTTGAAGTTATTGCCAAACATAAATCAGTGGAATTTTAAAGGAACAAGTTGTTGCAAATTTCTTTCTCGAGAATGATTAATGAAATAAATATTATTCTGTCGTTTTATTTAAATAAAACGTGAAACAAAATCGGTATAAAACATCGATGCTTCCGAATGATAGTACAATAGGGGAAAGGATCAAAAGATTGGTTTCCAGTTCATGGCGATCTAAATGGAGTTGTAGAAAGGGTTAAACGTCGTAACGAGTTCAATCGTATGCTGCAAGACGGTGTAGTACATATTCGCAGATCGCCTAGCCACATAGCCAGGCATTCAAATTTAATCCGGATTAGTTCGTAAGGGTCATAATATCCTCCCCTCTTAGTACTCAACCCCTACGCGTACAGGAGAAAGCACGCAAGCCTTGCACAGGTGAAGCCGAAACACATGGTCACGCACCCTATTATCCTAACTCGCAACTGTCGTGCTCTCTGGCCAACGAACAAACCAATCTTTTATAAAGAAATTTTTCGTGGAAAAATACTTTATGGTAGCTAGGTGGGAAAACAGTTTCTTAGGTTTTGGTAAGTAAGTACTTCAACGAATATGCGCTTATTTGCAATTTATTTAAAGTATCGTACCTAAGAGTGAAAAAAGTTTCACGAGTGGCATAGGATCGAATTTTAAATCTTACGAATTATAATATTTTATACGTTGAACTTTGTATTCGCGTACATTTCGCATAATTATTCAATAGATACACACATCGTTCGTTCGAAGCAATCAAAAATGACTCTGACAATACAAATGGATGCAGAAATAAAAGCTGGGAATGTACTACAATGAAATAATTTTTATAATAATTTCTATACGATTTTTACATGACAAAGTTTACAGAGGATTAAATAAAAAGTTTCATTTCAATTTCCTTGTTCCCTTTAAATTAAAATTGCTAACTGGGAAGTGGCTGATACATGCCAATGACATTTTCTGTCGAATCTGAGGTTTCGCAAAATTCAGCGAAACTTGAAAAATCGAAGACGTGAAAGGAAGTCGAGATCAGAGCGAGGAAAACGTGAAAAAGGAGTGACGAGCTGAAGTCTGGGGATTAGTCCTGACTGCGAAGATTTAAAGGGGATCCCTGAAATCTGTAGATTTAAGAAGTGCGTGCTTCCACGTCTTCTCATCTCCCTCCCTTTCTTTCTCCCTGCGTCTTTCAAAATTCGAAACGCAAATATGTACTTTCCTGCTCTCTATATTCCGATGATCACCGTTTCCATACCCCAAGTCACGATCATGGGCATTCCACCATGATACACTTTCCAAAGGAATTCGGATTTACGAGAGGTGACAATAAATTTTCCGGAATAATTTTCTTCCCGCCAAAATGCCAGCAACGTAAACAGTTACGTGCTTGAGTTTCATGTTACGCGAAAAATGGAACGTTTCGTCGTGGATTTTTCATCGTGAGAATGTTCCACCACGTTCAGCTATTCTAGTGAAAGAGTTTTTAAATTTAAAATCGATCTCAGCGTTCGAACATCCCCCGGCATTCGCCTGATTCGTCTTCTTGTGACTTTTTATTATTTCCTAGAGTGAAAAGAGTCGTGAAAGAAACGCATTTTCAGTTCATCTCCTAACATTCCAAGGAATGTAACGTGGGTATTTAATAGAGATACCAGAAAGTGAGTATCAGAAATGTTGCGATCAATGGATACGACGGTGGAACGTGCGTGTACAGTCTCAGACTATTTCGAAGGCAATAGCCTCGCAGCTGTGTAATTTTCAAAATCAAATTTTTAAATCAATTATGCTCGTATTTCGTAGTGCGCTCTGTTGTCGAATTTTACAAGAGTTTATCGTAATGTGGAGGTTAAAAAAATGTCATTTTATACGTGGACAACTGAATCGTAGGAAATTTTTAGTATAATTTTTTCACGGGATTCTGATAAATCAATGTGCTTTTGGAAGTTATAGCACTTGTCAAAGAGGATCGATACGTTTCGAAGTCACGTGCGGACTTTGGTTTTCGTTCGCCTCGGCAAACGGATGCGTGCAAATTGTTTCTACCGCATTATCGAGGATCAAGGAAATTCCGCCGATAGTCTATCTCGTTTACGAGCTTTAACGACCCTTCCGCGCGACCTCGATCATCTACGCACACGAACTCTTCGTCGTTCTCTACGGAAACTTGCTCGAGGAACACGGAATTCGAGTTCTTTGACTTGTACACAGCAATTGTTAACGGTTCCTTTATTATTCAAACAGTGTTGTTATACTCTTTCTGTTCCTCGAAAAAGAAATGGCGCTAATTTCACGTTAATTACGCCAAAATGAGAAGGAAATGAGCAATCGATATAAACATATAATACAATGGAATTGTCAGAATCGTGCAAAAATTTCAAATGCGTACAAAGTAAAGTTTAGCATAACATTAGGTCATCCTGAAAGTTCCCGCGGTTTTAAAACATTTACTTTGAAGAAACGTAACTTTATTGAAATGAAGCACTTTTCAATAATTTAATAATTTACATAATATTCGATACACTTTTACCAACGTATTACGAGAGCATTCGAAAATCTAAATCTCTGAGAGAAAGAAACTGCTGAAGGACCATTTTCAATATCAGAAGCCAAAATGATTAACTCGACTTTTTGATTTTCTTCCAATTCTAGTATCGAAGCACGTGCTTAGTGCTTAATTTTTCTTAAATAAAACAAATTTGGAAAGTTAGTTTTGATTACAGAGATTAAGTTAGCCATTTTGGCTTCTGAGTGGCTCAATTGTCAAATGAGCAGAAAAAGTAAAACTTCAATACCACAAACTTCTGTTGTCCACAGTTAATTATTGTACCTTCAGTGTTTGGCGAACGCCTCCTAATTCGTCACTGTATGACTCTGTAGTGATAGTGATACCCGGTCATAGGAAACTATAATGAATTAATCCCATAAGCATTTATATTTGATTCAAAAACACCTAAGCGTCTTTGAGATATTATGTCGTTGCTATAGTCTTTCCTTGGATTTTCACTGAAACATTTTTCATTTTTTGGATCGGGGAGATTCATGTCTTTCTTTCTCTTAGAGAGTGAAATTTTTGTGTACACGGAATTAATGCTCTCGCAATACGTTGACAAAAGTCTGTGCAACAATATAAAAATTATTTTAAATAAAACTGTTCAAATTTCTGACCTACGCACTTCTAAAATTTATTTGACAAGTAACTTTGCCATCATTCCAAATATTTCTGACCAGTTGTATTATTGGTGTATCAATTATTATCAGAAATAATAAAAATGTAACATTCAACATAGACTTACACTTTGCTATCACTCAAAATATTCCCGATCAGTTGTATTACTAGTATATTAATTATTATCAGAAATAAGGGAGAACCCAAATGGGAATCGAACCTACGACGACCTCCGGTCTGCAAGTCGGGCCTCCTTGCTCTTCGTTCAGGCGCCCTCTCTAATTCTTCGCTGTTATTGTTCCTGTTAAATTGGTATGCACTCCCCGATCTCAGAATATCATTCCACTTTTGTATCAAATATTTCGTGAAATGATTTCATTTCACTGTTTCACAGTTTAACAATTTAGGCCAACATACGTTATAAATTAGAAATGATCGATTAATGGGAAATAAAAGACTAAGAACACTTATTTTAAAAACAGAGTAGATCTTTTTAACTTGAAACTGTTGGATCGTGTATTAATATTAACGAAATTGCTCACTTTACTATTAGAAAATATCCTACTTTGCCGCATGTTCCGATAATTTGGTCGCACTGTCAGCATTGACGTGTTAAAGTTGTTTTCGCACGACCCAATGCCGTAAAGGTGACTTAATTCGCCCCATGTCGGAGATTTATGGTCGAAGGAACAACGCGTGAGCAATTCGGTAAAATGTTGGGTAATGGGGTGTGTATTATTGTGAAAATCACAGGTAAAGTCAAAGAAGAGGAAGAAAATGGTGCTGGGGCAAAGAAATGGTAACCGTGTCGTAAACTTCTGCCGGTTCTTACGTTTTCGAAGACTTATCGCGAAAAAATTTTATCATTTTAAATAACACGATTTTCTTTGATCTATTTTTATCAAGTCATTTTGATCCTTTCAATTATTTGTCGAAAGGAAAAACACAGTCGAATAATAAAATAAAGAAAAATGTGAAAGACTCACCGGTGCTGGAGGTAGATTTGCTAAGATCGAATCCCTCTTGTTTGGGGCTTGTATTTGCTTCTTGCTTGGGGTGTTGATTGTGTGCAGAAAATGGTGTCTGGGGCGCGCTTAGGGGTGTCTGCGATTGATGAGGATGCACCGACGGCGGCTGAGTAGCATTCTGCGGCTGAGACTGTTGGGACTGGTGAGACTGAGGGCTCCTCGGTAACGAGGACACGCTGCTCGGCCTCGAAGGTGGAGAGGCCTTGTGTGTCAATGCCAAAGCTTGGCTCTGCGCTCAAAAAAGTTTCATTTCCTGATTAATTATTCATTATTCAATCGTTTCCATGAATTAACGCGACGCTATTGATCAGGTTAATTAATCACATACTGTAGCCTCTCTTGGCGCAAAAAACACGTCCAATGTGAGGAAACAAACGATATTGGTGCAATGCGTAAATGAACATTCAAAAAAGTTTTTGAAAAACGTATTAACAGTTATTGTTGACGATGCAATTGAAGAATACCATTTGACAAGGGTAATACTATTTTAGAAATATTTTACTAATACAATAGGTTCTTTAATATTAATTAATGTTAATTTTTTAGAATTATTTTATACAGAAATATCTAATTTTGTCTAAGCATACGTGTATACAAATATCATTGTTAACCATTGTCATTCTTAACGGTCGCGGCTACAATAAGATTCGTTGTAACACTTTCTGCACTTCAACTGTGAGATGCAAAAACTTCATGTAGGGGAATGCGGGGTACGATGGAGTAACGAGGTAAAATGGGACAACGTCATCTAGAATAAACAATGGAATATTACACAGTGGCGGGGAAGGACGTTTTTCCAAAAA